CCGAACACGAGCTGCTCGCCAACAATGAGCCGTTTTGACAGCTATATAGGTAAATTTCCTTCAAATGAAACAGAGAAATGATTGAAAGAAATTTGCCTGGCGCAATCTAAGGAGCGATTCTTCACAATGAATATTAGTGAGATGATTTTTACAACATTTAATTAACTTTTCATCTAAATAATAATGATTATTCTAAGATAATTTGTTGGTGCAGTTGATTCATTAGTTGTGATCATAGAGGTCCACCCAATTCCTATGTATTTACACAACTAACACCAAAACTTTGCTTGTTTAGGTTATGCCACACAAATCTTTTATAACACATCAAAACTATCATCATTTTACAGACTCAAAATTTAATGTATAATTATATTTTCATGAAGAAAAATTATTAAAGAGGAGGTTGTACCTCAAGAAAAGAAAGAAACTAGTTGTCTTCTGTAGGCTTAGAAGTGTCACCCTTTATGTCTGCAAGCAACTCCTTCAGCTGACCGTTCTGTAACAATAATGAGAAAGATAAGCAGAACTGATGAGCCATATCACACCAACAGGAGAGAGTAATTTCTACCATATAAATTAAAACCACCTGGTGCATGCCGAGGACGATATCCGATCCCCCGACGAACTCTCCTTTGATGAAGATTTGTGGAAATGTTGGCCAATTGCTGCATGTATATGCAAATTTTAAATTTTAATTTTACCAAGCATAGTTCTAATAATAGCACACATGGTACTATATAGGGTGATGTAAACAAGCAGAGTTTGAGCGACCTCGTGCTTGGCTCGTGTTCGGCTCGTTCGAAAATATTGTTATTTGAAATTAGCTTGTGAACAATATGTACATGTTCGGCTCAATTTATATAGCTTTCTTCGTATTCGGCTCGAGATTAACTCATGTTGTAGAGTTTGGGTACCTAGAAAGCCAGAATTGTTTTTTTTATATTTTTTAATGCATCACCAAAGTTGCAAGTCTTAGGGTGTGTTTGGGGCAGTTTGTGCTTATCCAAAGCGTT